ACATGTGAATCTTTACAAAATAGCTGACGCATTAAAATACAGAAATCAGCCACTATACTTGCTAACTGAACCAATTTGCCAAACCAAAGCCAAACCAAAACCAAAACTGAACCAATTAGTTAATGTATAAACAGGAGTTACACAGTGAAACTGTAGAACAAACAAGCTATTATTTTGTGTCTTAATTTACCATAAGGATTACAGAATTAAATCCCAATAGGGATTGTTTGCAAAATCGTATCATAAATATCAGTTTGACACCAATACAAATTTAGAAAACCAAGTGATAAAATATTTGTATTTACATGAGTAATGACTCGACGTTATTTAGCGTTAATTAAAGAGCGATTCAAAAGTGACAAAGCCTTGGTTGAGGGTGGACACTGGACAGTGTTTACAGAGTTTGTCCAAACCCCGCATCTCGACTTCCTTTGATGATTTGACGTCATCTAACCCTTATTGTTTATGTTTGTACCCATCTGAGTTTTACTTAGGAGCTAGATATGTCACTATATCAAATGCATTGCGACCATTTATGGCTAAAGCGTTTACTATAAGTATAGTGAGGCTACTACTATAACATGTACTAATTACTCACTACTCATTGTGGCCTAAAATACTCAAAAGCTAGTTGGCAAGTATATAACAGTAAAATAAGAATATGCATTAGAAAAGATACAATTCACAAATGGCATCTAATGAAACGTCTTTCAGATCCGTTCTAGCACCTTCTAAGCTTTTTTCTTCTTGAATGCACTGCCTACTACTGCAAGACATTGAAAAAAGGTCTCAAGAACACAATGATATATACTTGTTGATGTCAACCATCAGTTGTAAGTATAGTATAAACCAGACTTTCCATATGTTATATTTAAAATCTATATTTGCACTAGAAGTTACCCAGCGTGCGTTGTTACGCTAAGAACTATTATTTTAACTGGTAATTTGTTCTTTTCGATATATAATTAAAAAAATAGGCATATACCAAAAACTAAAATACAATATTTATTTTTCTTAATTGCCAGTGGATAAACAATGTTTATTTTAGTTTATATATAAGTTTTAAGCACACAACGGTCCGTGTGAAAAGCATGCATTTTCTAAATTTAAACCGACGATAGTCAGGGATTGCCCTTGTGCCTTACAATGGTGATTGCGAAAATAAGACGCAAAGTAAATTGTAGTCGCTTGAATTCAAAGGGTTATTCCGATGAAATCATCGGTATTCTTGGGATTAAGACTAACTCTCCTTTAAATTTACTAAACCTACAAAATAGTTGGTGAATGTAAACATCTGCTTTTAAATTATATGAATTTTTAAACATTGTAGTTAAAAAAAGTCGGACATTTGACCCCTTAAACCCTCTAGGGCAGAGCCTTTTTGACGGACCTGCACCAAACTTCACACAAACCATCCTTGAATAATGCCTAATAATGCCTGAAAGTTTCATTACTATCTGTCGAGTGGAGTCCATTGGGTATATACATACATACTTACTTAATCTTTTTTAGATATAGATAGATAACCTGAAATAGCAATTACATACTATCGATTGCCAAATAAGACTCTCTTCAATTCAAGGTGTCTGTGCTATGCAACTGTAGACATAACAATACACTGCAGATAGTCAACTTAAAAGAAAGTGTTTAAGCACATCTAATACTCTTCGTAGCAATGCAAACAGTTTTCTATATAACAATCATTCTAATAATGTTCATATACCATTAAATTATTGTTATACTATTCCGAAGTAAACTAAGCACTTGTATTGTGGAATAAAAATTTTTCAGTCGTAAATGTAATAGGTACTTTATTTTACAAGCCGCGTTGAAGAATATTTTCTAACAGGCCTACAAGTATATGAAAGAGAAAAAAGTCAAAAGCTACTACATACAAAAAGGCCATGAAGATTTGTTAAACCAGGCAATACCTTTATCTAATTCAAGGGTTTCAACATACATTATTGAACTAACCACAATAATTGGAGAACCGTTAATTAATAACGAGTACATTAAAACCACAATAACGATTCTCTTTACATTTAACATTATAAATACATATTTTAATAGTATATCGATGTAACCACAACTCCTAGGATAGCTAAATGTTATGAATACGTTTTAATTTCATAAAAAGGTTTTCGATGCTGTCGATAACTAAACATCGTAAAACTACAAATTGGTAGTAAAATGTATTTTGAACATTGCATGTAAAGAATTTTTTTTTCTTTTAAACTATATACCAATATTACAGAAATAATAAACAGATTATAAATCTCATGTAAATCTCTACAGGAATGAATTTTACCTTTTGAAAAGAATACCTTAAGCTTTTGTTTCAGACATGTTATCGATATAGTTCAGATATTTACGCTTGAGTAAATAGTAAGTTACATAACATGCATGTTCCAAGAAATTGTTAAGTTCAGATTACCTCTGGATAGCATTTGACCTTTGTCCTCCTCTTTCCATACATATCCAAATATATGACGAAAGACACTCAACAAAATTGAATATTTTCTTTGTATGAAAAATGTATCCTATGATATTTTTAGAATAGTTAGGTATGTTTATTTATTTGTATTTTTTTCTAGAATGCATCGAGACTTTGACATCTGTAAATGGCTTAAAACATCAAATATGGTGAATATCATAGAAACGTTTGAAAAAGAATCTATAGGACATATAGCTTAAAGTTTGAATAAAAATCAAACCCTAGCTATATTTGAACAACAATAAACATCTTTACCGGTGCCGATGGTTTAGTTTGATAATTTGTTGTTAACTTAATGTATATAGGTTTCTTGTCGACATGGATTAATCGTATGCACGAAATAATGATGAGAATGATATTTGTGTACGTCCTTGGTTAAGAAATCCAAAGAAAAATTCACAATATTTTAGACAATGTCGTACTAAAATGATTCTTGTTGTAAAAAATTCAAGATAGATATGCTTTACAATTGTAATAAAACCGTACGTTTGGAATAACCTTTAAAACTAATAACAGTTATTGTTACGACTGGTGATAAGAAAATACTTATATACAATTTATTATCATAAACTCATGTTTCATGTGCCATTAACAACAATTTGTAACTTTCCGGAACGTACGTTTTATAAGCATCACAAGTGAAAGTTAAAGTACATATAGCTACTCCATACTCCCCCATCTGCTTATACGAAAATAACTACAAAAAAACCCCACTTCAAATGGTACTATACCAACAACCCAATATTTTTGTAATGCTTAAATTTGGAATTTTTGAATACTCGCAGTATAATTTCTCCTCACCTGAAAATCCAGAACACAGTCTCTAGCCTGGAACCGTTTTTCAAACTACTTTTAAGAGTCATGGCATTATCGCATTGTAAAATCCATCGGTGATTGGCGTTATTTGATCCTGGGACCTTGAAGACCAAAGCAATACAATAATAAACGTTTCTTCTTTAGTTCTTTTCCTATTCTGTGGTCGATGTCACAATAATTCTTTTTATTTTGAATCCTCTATCAGTGATAAAGTTCGCAAAAGATTAATTTCCCAAAATGCATTCTTCAAAACTGCCTCATATTTTTAGAAAATAAATACGAGGAATAAACGCCCGAAATGCACGAACAACAGTTGTTCGTAGTTGTTCGAAGTAGTTACTTTTTCTGGCAACGTTTTGAGATAATTGAATGTAAAACAAATGCTTGAAAACAATGATTTTCATATGTTAAATGTGCAAAATGTAAGAACACAGAACTTACAAGGAAAAATATTTGTGCAATTTTCTCAAAACAGGTAAGTCTTAAACAATTTTATCTGATAATCATATAATCATATGGATCCATGCAGAAATATTTCGGCCTGCATTGTCAAATCTGGCCAAGTTTGAGAAAATGTCGATTGGTCGGGTTCAACCGAAACTGTTGGTTCACCACATGACCGCATTCCGAAACAAACACAAATAGACAACTATTTAATTACTGTCAAACGTTTTCAACAATTCAAAAGTCGTTAATCACTATCCGTTTTTATTACTTAAAGAATTTGGTTCAAAACGCCTTAGATTTAATATTTGTGTTCAATTTGATAGAACAAATACTAATTTCATACTGATTAAAACGTCATGAAATTAAGCAGCTATTTTTTATTACTTGTCGTTAGATTATTATTATTTGCTTTCTGTGAAGGAATTTCGAGGAAGCTTATTCAATTGTTTCAAAAGCAATGTAGCCTAACTATTCAAGATCCTTCACATAGACCACATAGTCAAAAGTCATCACATTGTTATGTCACATTGTTAATTGTTAATTGTTAAGTCACATTGTTATGTTTATTGGCTATTCACTCACTATTAAGTTATGGGATATAGGGCATGGGATATATAGGACATAGATTATAGGGCAAACACATTTAGTTGCATTTTAACTCAAATATATACTTCAATATTTTTTTTTTTATTGTTAAGGCCACACATGAAAAGATAGTATTTCGCTACATCAATACGTAAGCTAATGAACTAGTTAATCACTTATGTCTTTTAAACACATTTAATTGGATTGTGACAGTATTAACAAATATGCTTACTCCAATTTATTACATAATTTTGAAAACTATGATGAAAACTATCCATCAATATGTTTTGATAGAAATATTAATATTAACATTTAAGAAAGCTGGACACTCAACCGCTTCATTAGGAAAATATCATAATTCACCTCATCACAATAATCGGAATTAGTTCGTTTGTTTAATAAATAATAAATTTAGAATGGAATGGAATAAGATAAAATACTTATTTATTTCTTCATTTTAAATGTGATACATAGTGCATAGCTTCACAATTATTGTTCAGTAAAATACACAATAGTAAAATGATAAAAACTAATTTAATTTTTTACAGTGAGAATACGAGTTATAATGAGAGTACATACCGTCCAGTGTTTCCAACAGACTTGAAACATTATTCCACTTGTTTCGCCTTGAATAACAGTTAGATATCAATACATAAATTCATTTGGGAGGTTGTGTTACGTAGGTTGTAGTTGTGTTTTCAAAAGCTGAGCCAGTTCCAGGTGTACTCTCTTTGGTCCCGTTAGTAGCAGTTGAATTTGTCTCGTATCCAAACATATCGGCATAAGAACCTAAAATTACCAAAGCGAATTTATTATCTATATGGCTGTCATCATAGGTGTTATTAGAGTTGTCAATGCTACTAAAACTCTTGTTGGACTCTGTATAATCTTCAATGGTAGTTTCTGGGTTGGATTTTGAATCATTGTATAAAGTTGATTTTGATTCTTCTGTCGTAGTTTTTATATCAGTTATCCGACGGTTTTTTGAAGGCTTTATATATATATTCCTGTATATAAGGGATTTTTGTTTAGAGTTAACTTTTTCGACCTTTTCTTGTTCACCAGTTGTTTCAACGTTTCCAATACTTTCTTCTACACTTTTTTTCTCATCCTTTTGCTCCACGGATTTTTGTTCTTTAGTTCTGCTTACATCTTCATTTTTATCTTCAATTGAGTCTTTAGTTTTCTCTAAACTGTCTTTCGTGTTTATCTTTGTGGGATTCCTTTCTGTCTGGATAGCTTTAGTTTCATCTTTTACTTGCCTCTTTATCATAGTATGTGTTGTATCAGAAGTTTTAGATTTTCCTTCAGAAGTGTGCTTGGATTTATCTTCACTGCTTGTGTTTTTATTTTCTTGAGTTTCAGTTTTATCTTTTTTAATTAATACAGACTTGCCTTCATCATTTATTTTTACACCCTTTTTACCGATTTGAAATTTCTCCAGTTTCACTTTACTTTTACTGGGCTCTTTGGTTTCAGAAGCACTGAGGGGTGTATTTTTAATGTCAGGTGAACCTTTTGCTGCCTCTTTTGGCAATTCATCCTTTGTTTTGGTGTGTTTACCTTCTTGAGTTATGTTTATTTCCATAGCTTTGTTTTGTATACCCTCTGCTTTGATTGTCTTAGTGCCCGTTTTAATCTTGGACATTGCGTGTTTGTTAGCTGGAGAATTGTCATTGCCTTTTGAAATAGATTTAGCACTCAATGGTTTTTGCAATATACTGCTGTACGTTAAATTCGAATTTTTATTTGCTCTGTAATTCATGTCTTTCGTATTTTGGTTCGAATCAGAGGTTTTAGATTTTTTGTTACTATTAACACTGTATTTATCATCTGGTGTGCCTTTCACTGTTTTCTTGGCAGTTGGATGGTTTACAGGGCTGTCCAGAGTACATTTCGCATTTGTAGGCCAGTCGCAAGCGGTCTTTTCGGCGTTGTAGTGAAGTCCTTTTGAACAAATGAACACCCTTGGGTTGCCTGATGAATCACACATTATGAACTTTGAACAGTTCAGAGGATGGACGTATTTGCTGTTTGGTTTGCAGAAGACGGCTTCTGTCGACGGCTGGATCTAAAACAAAAGAAGAAGCCAATTGTTATGTGATAAACTGTATAAGCAAATTAAGTTATATTATTTACTTCTTAAATTTACATGTATTTTTGTTCCTAGCTTCATCAACCCACATTTTTTAAACCAGTATAAACATTTTAAGCATTAATTTTATATTTTAAAATAGTTTCCGGTTTGCTTTTTTCCACTTTAGTACGAAGGTAACCCAGGAAAAATTTAATTGTATAATATTTACATTTTAATTGGACTTAATATATTTGAATGCTTCTATATTATATAGTTATATGTTTCATACGATATTCATTTTCTATTTCTAAATATTTTTTAAAGTATTGTTTTAGTTGATATCAAAAATGTAGAAATCTAATAAAAACGTTTGACAATATAAACCAGAAAATAGGTGCAGATAAAACACATGCCAGTTTTAACTTTTCTCTCAATTGTATATTTCTCCGACAGTATTTCACAACCACTATTTGTATACGTCATTAGTTTTGTACCATGTGAAACATTAAGTAGGATGTTAAGTAAGGGTTTAAATTATGTTCACTAATCTAAGGCAATGTAATACGACCATCATAGTAGTAATAATAAAAGAAAAGATAAATTCACTTAAGGTCTTAGAGCAAAATAGTTTTTGACAATTGTAGACTTTACGTCACAGGTTTTGAAATCGTTCACCTTCTCAACTTGAAAGTTGAAGTTTGTCAGTTTGACAGTAATTTCCTGCTTCTACCCACAAATTCCCTACGGCTCTCATCAACACTTATTAATAGTTTAGAAAAAAGATCCGACGAACAATGGGAACTGCCAAAGTCTGATTTCTTTTGGGAAAGAATTAGCTTAGAGCTGTAAAGCATTTTTACGTGGAATAAGCCTGGTTAAGTTATGAAAGAATCGTATATTTCAGAAATTCCATAATAAAACAAATGTTTAAATTTTGACTTTTGAGTATATTAATAATGTACAAATTGAAATTCACTGCAATAAAATTTTGGTTATGGGGTTTCCGCAATAAGCGATTCAATACTATCATTTTTATTGTGTTATACAGCGTTTTATTTCCTGTAGAAAAGTGGTGACTTAATCTGGATTTTAATACAAATTGTAACATTTCAATCATAACCTTTCTGAAATTTTAACAAGATGGTAAAAAACCATTTTAGTGCTATTTCAAAATATATGCTGCGAGTTTTGTTTTTGCCATGGACAAAAATGACCGTGGGGATTTCTTTAAATGGGGGCTTCGATTCAGAGAATGTTGTCTTCGTCTGAGGGGCCTGCACATATTATTTAAATTTTATTCTAGATAAGTGAACCAATCAAAATTATTATGTTTCATTAAAACATTGGAAAAGTGGAGAGTCCAAGTACTATTTCATTTCACTGAGGTATTGGATGAGTTATATCGTTGAACGATCTGCGGAATAAATTTGCAAGGTAGCCTACTAGTCGAAAATTAAAATATATAAACACTATTAGTTTTGAGTGTTTTCAGTGGTATTTTTAACTATCAGGATGTTTAAAAATGTTTCTTCTTTCCTTATACTGTATGTTTACTCAACCAAACTGTACATTTCAAAATTATCATTATGTTTCATTAAAAGCTAATTAGTGCATTTATCCGCTAACTCTCCAATACTAGTTTGAATGTAATTTATGCATATTTATTTGTTTCTCTAAATCAAATAAGCTCTTGTAAAGAAAAACTTAGTGAAAATATTTTTTAGGCTACTATTTTAGATAAGTAGAAAAATCCGCATTAATCCGATGTTAACGCGCTAACAATGCACAACTATCTTTAATCTTTGACGATACTATCAATAATTTCAAACAAACTAATAGATTTATAAAAAGATAAAATACATAACAAACTATTGGAACTACTAAGTGGCTTATTTAGTTTTTAGTATATAAATTTGTTTTTAGAATAAAATTATGTTATTCGTAATTTACTTATATTGATACACCAGTATTTTTTAGAAACTCCTAAATATTTTTAAAGCGATCCTGGAGATAGGCAGAACGATTAATTATTTAGTTGGGTTCTTGTTCAAACACAGCTTGAACAGTAAAAACGAATCCGGAGGATCTCTCAAAACCAGCATTAATTTTTTGGTTGAAATACGCCCCGTTTTTTTCACTTATTACTTAATCGTATAGTATTATAGCAGTAGCAGTAGTATAGTATGACGTTTAACCTAAAATAACCATTACGAAAATTTCCTTTAATATTTTACTGAATAAATATAATTCACATAATATAAAATACACAAACTCTGCCCTCCAATTAAAGTTATGATAAGTCTTACCCATGTTAGTACAACGAGTGTAAAGAGAAGAGGCACCATCTTGAGGCCTCAGATACTGAAATGAGGTAAAAGAGCCGTTCAGCAGCAACTGAGAGAAGAAACCCTCTGAAGCCTTTGTTCGTAAAAGGTGAGGAAACTTAGCGTTATCACTGTTGTTGTCAAAACTCTTGCCAAAACAACTCATGAACTGGCTCCTGAGACCCATTTAGATAAGCCATGCTCAAAATGACAGAGCAATCCGAAACGAGGTGAAGTCATCGTTTGAAGTACGGTACTACATTTAGAAAAACACTGTTATATATTGTTAGAAAAGTCATTTAGCCTACATATCAACTATACACGGGTATAAATATAATTAAATTTTAACAGTCTCCTGGTTTTTGTCAGTTAGAAATTACAACATAGGAATCCTTACTATTTTGTATGAGATTTTGTTTTTTCAAAGTTGATCAGAAACATTTTTTTATTTACAGCCACAACAGTTTCAGATATTATAGTTTTTACCATAGACTATAATAAGGATAAAATGCAGTACCTTGCAATGCTGTGTAAACAGGTTTTGATACTCATTTTACATATAAAGTATAGCATAAAGAACAAAATATATAGGTTGGTAAATCAGTGTGTCAGTTGGTATTGCGGTGGACTACTAATCTGAGTAAACGATGCAGTTTGTTTGACCCTGATTCCTGCAATTTCCATCAGTAAATTGCAACAGATGTAAAGCTGATTTTAGTACTGATCTGGCTCACACCTTATTTCGATGCATTTTCAGGTGGTCATAAAAATTCAGGAAACACTTTTTTAGAATGGTGTTGTCGGGGATTGTTTTTCACATGACTTAAGCCTAGGCCTAGCTGTTTCTGGTATTATCACATAGATAAAACTAATTAGTAACTGTCAGGATCTGAACCTAGGACTACGGGGGCCAAAGTTCCGCACTCTACCGCTATACATTTTAACTATTATATGCATTACATCTAATCGTTGAAATGGCGTCTCCACTGCCAAAGTACTGAAAAGTTATACCTTGAAATGTTACATATTTCCCCATAATAACACAAAGTTAAAATCAAACACTACAGGTTGTAGAGCTAAAACAAGTTTACCAAACCACTTATTTCGCTCTAACTGTAATATTTTATATTGTACCATTGTTTATGATTTAGAAGTTATTTTCCGGTCAGAGACAGCAATACCAGATCTGCTTTGATATTGAAGTCTGCCACTTAGCTGCAGATCTTCTCGAGTTTACTCAAAGAGTTGATCTCTTTATATCTGCCATTTCCAATACACTGCACTGAATGTGTCCAGTTCATTTGATTTATGTTCGCCTTGATCCAGCTAATAATAATAAAATACATTTCTCTAAAAATTACTTATTCAAACTATAAACTATAAACCAAGGAGTTAAAAACCACTTTATGTATAATGTACACTTCAGTATTTAAGTGACAAACTGTTCTCATTGAAATATTAAGTGACATAAAACGAAATTATAACCAACCCTAATGTCTCTGAATAAGTGGTTCTCACTTGTTTAAATTAAACTAATTTGTAAATTGAAACAGGAAAATATGAGCGTGAATTTGCCTCTACGCCAGTATTGTAATCTTCACTCAACATTCGTTAACAGAAAAGTTACGAATGGTAATTTCCCCTTGGAACAATTTATCCTCAGACCTCGTATTATTCTTTCAATATTTAAAACTTCTTTTAGTAGGATGATAAGTTTCAATTCCATATTTATCTTTTAAAACCTAGTTTTTTTTTATGAGTATTCAACATCACATTACGTTTAATAATTTAGATTTAAATGTATTGATTTCATCTCCAGAGTCTAGTATATTCCCAAAACTGCAAAAAATGTATATGTCCTAGAAATGCAACTGGTTGGCTTAGTTGTTGAAGTTGGATTAATTTAACTGGGTACCTAAAAATTTTCCACGTAAACGATTGAAAAACTGTAATTTAAGTTTTTCTTGAGATAGAAAAATGACAGTAAATAAAGTTATCAAACAATGTGGTTTAATATTGTTTTTTTTTTCCTAAGACGCTAGGCACGAGCCCGGGTTTGTTTTTCACTTTACTTCAGGCTAGACATAGCATTATCACTTAGATAAAATCCATTGGTGATTTGGCGGGATTTGAACCCGGGATTTAAGGGACCGAAGTCCCGCGCCCTAACCACTAGGCTAGCTCGCTGGTGGGGTTGATTCAGGGTTACTCATAAGTATTAATGTGCTTTACTTAATAATCAACAACACCAAAAAATACGAAAACTGACCATCTCTTGCCTGCGTGACGGAGAATAATGTTTGACGCTTGATAATGAAGCATTAAAAACTAATTTGATTGTGAGATTAGATTTAAAAAATATCTGTAATAGAATCTTCTACTTCAGTATCATTTTCTTTGTGAACATATCTCGTTCACACCTGACCTGGTTGACAGGGTTACCAACAGGTGTTGTTGTTGTTGCAGTGGCAGACCTGTAATAACCAGTGTCAAGCTAGCTCGTCCCCTCAATGTCTTTATTGGTGTTTCATAACAAGTGTATATTGGCAATAGTTGGATTCTTTTGTTTGTCATATTTTCTTACGTAAAATAAGTTACAGCCAAAAGTGAATATGAAACTTCATAATACACGTTTATGAAATAGTCGTATTCATAATTACGTCTGAATTTATTAATTTTAATAAATCACGTGTAAATAATGGAACGATGGTGTATTTATTAAAAATGCATTGACAATGGTTTGTATCGTGTGTACGTAACATATTTTTACTTCCTCAAAAAAAATAGCTCTATAGGTATATATGATGAAGTTATGCATATTAACAGTTTATTGAAAACGGTTAATGAATTTTGTATTTCATGCGTTCTACGTTTTAATTTTTTTTTTTCAATTCATAGTATGTTTGGTAAAAACTGTTTTCTGGTGATATGCAATCACCCGTTAATTCAATAGTTTCTCGTTATTGAGTAAGTTTATAAAATAAACTAACAAATCATCAGGTTCATAATATAAAATATAAATGTATTGTCAAAACTATGGTTTATTCGAAGTAATATTGTTTATTCTTAGTATTTTGTATTATAATTTACAATGTGATCTTTCTAGGAGGCATATACTTTGACCTAGAGTCAGGATTATATAAGGTATTTATTTATTATTATTACCCATAAACATTGAATACCAACACAAAAAAGCACTGTTTAAAAGTACTGTTCTTAATATTGTGGTAATTAGGTTTAGTTTAACATGTACAATTTAAAATTGCTTATTTATACTAGACATTTAATAGCTCAAAGGAACCATATTATGTCTAGCCGTAAACATAACTTTTTCATACCTCAGGGCTTCTGAAGTGTCCTTTAAATTGCTTCAATATCAAGTTTGTTTATATTGTTGATGTCATTTTCAGTCATCTCAATTTCAAAATACGTATTTCTTTATACAAAAGACGACTTTATGGTTTTCCACACAAACCCCTTTTGTAAAGTTTTGCTATAATTTATTTCATTGTTAGTACCATCCCAATCCCAACATATGTATACATATTACAAATTTGATATGACATGCTAGTAATTAACAAAATTACACATATTCACAAATATATGTATGAAATAAATATTATATTTTACAGATGTATAGCTAATATATGTTGAGAGTTCAAAGAATTTTAATTTTTAGATACAAAAATAAAAACGTATTTTGAAATATCGCATTTTAATTTCCAATATTGATACTAATTACACATTTTAGAGTAATTTAGCGTATCAACGTTTTAGTCATGAAGTAATATACGTCAGACAAAAAACAGAGTATATGGACTTAACTGGAAGTTTCCTGTAAAGAAGAAAGTTTTTAGATCAGAGAGATCCATCTTACTTTGTAAAGATAGGCAAGAATTTAGATGTGATTCAAATCAATGTATCGTATTGTTACCGATAATTCCAATCGGATTCCGGGTAATATATTACCTGTCATTGGCTATGACCAGATTTTAATACAAAGTTTTTGTACTAAGCCTTTTGATCAGCCACGGACAGTTCCTTATCACATGAAATGATGGAGAGTTTAAAATAATTATGAAAATTTTGGATTTAGTGATATTTCTAATTAATAATCTCTAAGAGCAAACGGGTACGCATTCAGCTATTGGTTCGCCTTTGCGACTGCTTCAAAAAGGCATAAAAGTAACTAATTACTCATTCAGATAGTAACAGTTTGACACTAAGAGCACACACCACATGGTTTTACACTTACCTTATCTTATTTGGAAGTTTTGAAGTCACGTACTTTAGACACGAGGAGCTCATTTAATAGTTTAATGCTTCAAAGCTTACCTAATGTTGTTAGTGAGCTTAGTGTCGAAATCCCTTTTCCTCTGGGTACCTACTAAATACAATGTACCATTTGGTAGCATTAGCAACATTGTAACATTGGTTGAAAACGTGTATTCAATCAAACCATCTCACTGTTTGACAAAAAATGTTTTTGGGAATACAATATTTAACCAACGAGAGCATTTCATTCCGAATAATCAAAAAACTATTGAATCAATTTTGATTTTTTTACGATTTCTTTAGCTTTGGCTGGGTTTGTGTATTAGTACACCTTTTAATGTTTTTTTTTACTTTCTTAAATGCGGACAGGATCACTCTCCAAATCAAAATACGGTACTTGGATTTAGTAAACTTCCCATATAACCGATACCGACTGTAGATGAGTGTGCAATACATCTCACGTGGGTGGTTAGGCTACGTACAACGGTATATATCATACAAGACATTTTGAACCTGTTTATGAAACACTATTATCCCAACAATCCGTCTAAGTGCATCCATAACAGGTGAAGATAACAGTTACAGGGGTTGTTGGTTTCATAAATAGATATTTCCTATCTTCATTTTTAGCTCAAATCACGTATTATTTCCGTTCTTATTAAATATCTACTGACTACAACTCTGGTTTCATGACCAGTATTTAACAACGTTGATAATTCTATATTATTTTTAATTCCTTTAGTGAAACAGTCGTAAGAACCAGTTTTAGAAATATAAAATGTTTGTCCGAAATAAAATTTATCACGATTATATCACTGATTTTTTTTTGTTTTCAAATAGGAGGGCTTTATTACACTCTTAATAGGCTATACCTCCAAGGGGATATAATAAGATTTTTACATAATCTTGAAAAGTCATTGTTCCATTGTTGTATACGTTTTGTCTGCCTTGACGACACATTCGTGCAAGACATGTTTACACCTCTGTAGAGTTGTAAACATTTTTGACAGTAACTGCTGCCATTTAAACTGTTCAAGGTGACATAGCATTCACGCGTCAATCATCATACCATGAAGTCTACAGTCTTCTTGTATACTGCGTCTTTCATTCTGGTAATTATTCTAGTTAATAACAGTTACAGCACTTTTTAAAACTAGTTTTACTGAGATTGATACCTTCGTATTGTATAATAAATGTGCCACGTTAGATTGTATTAAAGATTTCGAATGGAGACATATTTATTGGTTTAAAAACAAGCATAATAATTATGCCTCACTCGGAATGATAAGAATTTACGTTTTCACTTAGTGTCTTTAAAACACGAATATAGAAATTTCTCTTTATACATCTTACACAATTAACTATGGTTCCAAGAAATTCTATTCTAAGTAAAGTATAACAAAGAATTGTATAGTTGTTCAATGAAAACTGAGTTTTAAGGGAACTCGTAAAGCTATAAACAGAACTGTTTTCACGGCTGTATAAAGTAATATTGCTTTATACCCGAACTTACGGTGAATTCTTTTTTCTTAACCACCTTAGTTCTGCTAGCACAATGCAAACTTTTCTTCGGCTTTTGATAAGTATTAAGCTTTGTCTTAAAAATGTTAATATTGTATTCAATAATTTTGTTTATCGTTTAACCTTTGACTATTGATACAACTAGACATTCTATACCGATGTTAAAGTTGTCACTAGTTTTTTAAATGTCCAAATCTTTGTAGTTGATGTGAGCCACCGACAATATTGTGCTGAAGTATGTTACTGATTTCTTTGAATACACAAATTTCAACCAAGTCAAACCGAAGGAGATGCTTATTGAGAGCTATAGCAACTGTTGTGACCCATAAACCAAGTCAGCAACAAAAAACTAGGTAAAATTATAATTTAGAAACTAGCGTATTCTGTGACTCGTTCACATAATTATGTTCTTTTTTAATAAACATTTGGTCACAGCCAATCCATGTAGATGGTATGTCTACTTCAGTATCTAATAGTCAAGGCTTTAACATTTTTCATATTCAACTGAAATTAATTAAGCTGTGTCCACAGGCAGTTCGAGCATGAAAACAGCAAACTGATAAAAAGTAAAAACGTAACTGTGTAACACGTGTATGCATAACTTTTTATAGTAAGCGTTATCGTAACTGGCGATTTATACGAGAAAGTCGAGCTGAATGACCAGTCAAAGTCAAACTTTCTAGAATATTTAACATGAAATTTAAGCCTCAGGCTATCTTAGTGCATTTAGTTTACTTTTCCAAGAATAACCCATCTAATTAAGGTGCAATCCCTACTAAGACACTATTAGTTTGTAATAGTCTGAAGTTACCGATCTTCATTAGCCTATGTAAGGCACGTGATTCGAACTATATTACCGTTTATATTATAATAGTAAACGTCTAAACAGGTCTTAATAAGAAAATAGTTTGTGCATAGCAAAGGTAGTTTCTCAGGTGTAGGCTGTAACCAGTGATGAAAATAACATAGTGTCTAACTTTTGATTATATTACGTCAAAGGTTAAAGGTTGTTGACTTTTGAGCAATTATCGGAATTCCACTTGTGAGTTTAAGAAACTTAGAAACATTTCTGTAACGTTGACCAATATTGTTTAACACTAATTTCTATATATACCAAAATATGGTAAATTCAAAATGGAGAGTTTGGGCAACTTAAATCGTTAGGTGTTTACACTATAATAATTTAATTTGGTAATAATGTTAAGGTCGGGTGATTTCATGTTTGCTAACAGCTAGCCAACTCTAGTTAAAACACATGAACAGTGAAGACCTCATTATAAAACACCTAACTTCGGCAATTAGCTAACCAACTATAAACAGTATGTTGCAGTTGACTCTGTGACAGCTTGTATTGATGGAGAATTCATGAGGGACCCATCATCCTGTGACCACTTCTACAAGTGCGACCATGGACAACCAGTCAAGTTCTCTTGTGGACCAGGAACATGGTTTAACCCGAAGATAAACGTATGTGATTGGCCCTACAACGTCAAGTGTGACGTCAATAATCAAAATGGCAAACCAACTGACAACTATCAATACAACGATAACATTGGTGGGAACACCCCAAATAACAATAACTATGGGGGACAGAACGGCCAGAATAAAAAACCTTCGAATCAAGGTCAAAATCACCCTGACCAAGATAGTGGATACCTGAATCCTTCCGATGAAGGGTATCTTTGGCCAATTCAGGGTAATGATCAAAATTATAACGGTGGAGGATCTGGGAATGGAGAAAACAGACCAAGACCTACAATAGATGATTTGTATAACAGTAACAATAGGCCGTATCAAGACTATATTGGAAACAATCGTGTTTAAAGTATTTATATACATAAAGAGATATACAATAATTAGGTGATTCCCTACTTTTTTATTGTTAAAACGTAACACCAAATATATTTTTACCAAGCCACCTCCACTCCGTCAAAAAACATAATAACTTTGAATAAATTGGAAGTATGATATAAGTTACTTCATAAATGCATTTGAGGTACTAGTAATTATCCGTTAAAGGCATGTAATTATGTAGTTTATTTTATAAGTTTCTATTGTTTGTAACATAGTTTACAGCATTATGCTAAACTCTGGAAAACCTCTCTAATTTAGAGTATATATTTGACGATTGTCCTTTTGAATCAAAGTTTAAATTGCAGATGGATCAATGTCCCAGAGTTATATGAAATTTCCTCTTGATCATGCACGAAAAATAAATATTGTGATTGACTTTAAGTTTGTCATTATTATTTTTTATGAATTGTTTATACAGGACAGTTCCTCTTGATTGATAATAGGACCTATAAAAATCCTTTGTGATTTTGGTATGAAAGCAATGACATCAAAATTCGAATCATCAATGGTTAATTTTACAATAAAGTAAGACTCAGTAACATTATTGTTACAGTAGTGAAGCTATTTTAACGTGTACCTTTTATGCTGACCAACTAAAAATTAATTTAATCCAAAGTTTATTTAAGTGCGTATATACAGTACATTTAAACAATGCTTCGATTGATAATGCATATATTTAATAAACAAAAGAATATTTTATCATTATATCACAAGAATTTCAGATCCGAGTAGTATATGAAGATAATTCTTGAGATACGAGGATAATAGATTAATTCCACACAAAAGCTCGCCCTGAGAGATGTCTTATAGATATGTCTTAAGTTAATTAGCAGCCTGGCCTGCAGGAAATTTATGTTGTAGCGTAGCACTTTGTATAATAGACTTGAGGGAACGAAATAGTTTGCACATGAAGTACTTTTAAGACAACATATAAAAGGAAAAAACCAAATAACTATCACTTGATGTCCCTGAAACATTTATTCTGAATCTATAACTGACTATTGATTTACTATATACAACTCTTAAACTCACGATAATATTGTTACAAAAGATAGCCACAAATGTTACGTCCTATTAGAAATATTATTAAAGGAAATATTCTAACATGTACAGTAATTTGTACCCTATTCATTCACTATGGTATTTTTTTTTTATATGCAAGCATTGGTAACTCTTTAAAATTATACATCACGAGACAAACAAATCTATACTAAAACATATGCTATGCGTATATTATAATTCTTTCTGTGGATAAGCATTTGTGATGATAATTTTAATACTCTGTTATAAAGATTGTAAGTTTGTTTTAGTTAGTAATCGAGTTAAAAATTAGTCGGTATATCGAGAAAAACATTTGTTCTTTGGAATAAAAGGAAAATAAAAGCAGAAACCTGATAATATTTTACAAAGTGTTGCTAATGATACTTCTTGAAAGGGGCTTTTCATTAGGCATTGCAGTTGCTGGGCGATTTATAATCATATTATTTCAAAGTTCGCTTTGAACGAAAAGTGTTAGGTTGTTTAAGAAAATGTTACCTTTGAGACGAAATATTAACTTTCTTATTTCTTATTTAGTGAACATAATCGTGGTTACTTATTATTTATTATACGTTTTAACTATTTCGTGTGCACAATAGTACCTAAACATTATTACCTTAGTTATTATGAAGTTTTTGTTATTTTTTTAGTTAAAAGCTGCTAAAGTGATGTTTCAGTTTTGTTTAAACACGTGACAGAATATGAAATACTGTATAACCAGGTGTGAACAAATTGCACATAGAGGCTCATCAAGGTATTCATCATCTACAAAAAAAAAATATTTTTTGAATATGTTTGCTTTGATAAGTGAATTATGGGTTCAACTCTGAATGTACCGATACAAATTATAGATTTTTGTACATATAAATTCTAAACAACACTTAAAATAATATTATAAGTTAATGTAACTCGTTGGACCTTTACAGTAATTATAATTGTTCATTATATCGATTGTATGTTGTCTTGTGACATCTCATGATTGGACGTACATGGTATCGTTGTAAAGTTACCATTTCCTTGGTAATCAAACTGTTTGTGCTACACAGTTGAAATATGAAAAATTAACATTTCAAATGAGTATAATTATATTATTTTAAAATTATGTATAGTAGGCCTACCTAAATCACCAATCAATCTCATCTATTTTGATTATCTGTTTTAATATAAAAGTGCTCACCTAAACCTAGCCCCATGAGCTTATTTCAGTAATTATTAAGTTATTGTATTCTCGTTATTTCCCATTTTATTTCTTAAGACCGTAATTATTATTTTTGGATGGTAAAATCTTTTGATTTAAGTTAAAATGATCATTACGGTGTTGTGTATCTCAAACTGGTATAGGGTCTGAACATTGGGTACATGATAAAGTCTTATTTCCATTATGCTTTTTCCTGTATGTTCAATTCATTCTTTCTATTCCCAATTACTTATATCTCGTGTATTGAATTTTCAGCTCAAATAAAACTCAAATTACGGTTAAACGTAATTTCATCGGAAGAAAATTTAAAATAGTAAAATAATAAAAACAATTAAAAGATTACAGTACCTCCAAAATAACCTAATAGCATAAAACGTCCAAGATCTCACAATATATGATGAAAGAGCTATTTTTTTGTAACAAAGCAAACTAATGTTGTCACTTTATTAATCAGTCATGTTACAATAGACTTTAACTGACTGGTAGGTCTCTATAGTCTACCAGTGATAGTCCCCAGAGCCGCTCCCGCCCCCGCTAGAAACTCCGCTTCCACCTCCACTGCCACCCCCGCCTCCACCACCACCACCACCTCCAGTCCTTCCACCGCCACTTTTGCTACCACTTCCGCTCTTATTCTGGGGCCTCTTCGTGGTAGATCTTCCACAAGATGAACTTCTACTGCACCTTAAAATTAGGACAATTACAACACTAGATACCTAACAATATTGAAACGAATCTATAAATTATTTGTTGCACAATCAATGTTTACCTCCTGGCGTTCCTATTTGATACTATTTTGCGACTCGTTCGAAACTGTGATGATTAGTCATCCACTAAAGCTTTGTCATAAATATTAACGTAAACATGAGTCGTTCCCAATAATTAATTGCGTGCGTACGTAAAATGTGGCCACTGTGACAACGATACGGGATATTTTTTAATGTATCTATGTGTGTAAATTGTATGTAAAGGCTGTTTTATATTATTGTATGCCGAAGCTATAGCGGATATCTGAAAATTTCAGCGGGTTAACGAAAAGTGTCGCAAATTAGCGGTGAATAGGAACGTCAGAAGGTAAACATTAATATTTGGTAAAATTAAATTCTAAGTGTTAGTAGCTGCTAGAAACAGATAATTTCAAAGTTATTTACTATGCTTGATTACATTTGTTTTTTTGTTTTTTTTTTAGAAAAATGTTACCTATGTTTGTGATTACATACGCACCTGTTGTGGTTTCCCTGTTAGGTAGCAAAATGAGAAATTAGCTGTTAGATTACTCTTGTTAATTTGTCTTTTACGGATAAAGTACTGATATTGAGAACATATTTCCACTTTTGTTTTAATTTGTATGTTGCAAAGCTATTTTATAATTTTTCGTCTTCAATGGGAGACCAGATAATGTAACTTTATCTGGACTCTTCATTGGGTGATGAACCCCCCAATTTTGTATTATTACTTGGATAGGAATCAAGCCTAATGTTGGTTATGAGGGTGTTGGTTAGCGTTCTTGACTTACGACTATGTTAGATGTTAAAATTGTGTAAGCTCTGCTCAAGTTAAACTGGTTTGAATACGTCAAGATATTTAGTGCACCTACCTGGGCACACAACATTGTCTCTTCTCTATAAAGTAGTAGCCTTCTGGACAGTTGCACCAGCGTCCTCTGCCGTTACAACATTGTATGTAGCCACAGTCGCTTCGTGGACTGGCCAGCTTGTAATCTCCACGGGGTGGACATTGGTGCGCCTGTACTACCTGCAATCAAATTAAATGTGTTTTTTATAGTAAAATCCAAAATACCAATTTAACTAGTGAAATCATCAATCCAATAGACGATAAAATAACAGTATATTATATATTACACATGTAGCTTATATATTTCCACCTAAAGTTTTGTTTATTTAAATTTAGTAGTAAGAAAAATATCATTGTGCTGGCAGAGGTTAAGTTTTGAATAAAAGGAACTCTATAAAAAGTGAAAGTATACATATTCATAATTATTTGATCCATATTGTAAATATAAGGTCAACGTTTTATTCATGCTAAAAAAAAAATATTTAAAACAAAAACTAAACCATCTGCATCCAAAATAAAATAACAGCTTGGAAGCCATCATATTAGTTAAAGAAACAAAAATACTGCGAAGACTTCACCGTCGTGAACAAGAACAAGAACTGAACAAGAAATCGATAAAGCGATATTGCAATTGAAAGATACAACAATAACGTTGTTTGGACCAAGTTATTGAGTAATTTGAAAAAGTTAATTTTAAAATCTGCTTTGTGTTTTAGCAGAGTACCTTAAACATTATGAGAAAGAGAGTATCATTTAACTATTTAGTTTAATTGTTTGTAGCATACAGTTATATTATTATCCGTAAAAAGTCAAATTCCAAAGGACGTGATGTGGAAATCTGAAAAAACATGTTGTTTTAGTTTATATATTATAAACATAATATTTATTTAGTTTTGTAACTTTCAAATAAATTAAATCCCTATACGTTAAGATGGTTAGTAATTGTTAACGTTGGTCAATCAAAGTATTAAATACAGAAATATACCTTCCATCTCTATGGACCAGCTGTCACCAAATTTTCACTAAAAAAGAATGTAGTTGTGTGAGCCAGTCACAGAATGCGCTAATGTCTAAAATTCGGTTTTCCACCTTATTTTTCGTTGCTGACATAGTTTATAGGTTTTAACAGTTGCTATAAGACATAATGGGGCGTTGTATCAGTTTGACTTGGTAAACACATCGTTTATTTGACAGAAATTAGCAACTTAGATCAGCGCAATCTGTCGGTGGCTCACATCAACTACAACGAATTTGATTTAAAAACTTGCTACATCTTTAACATGGGGATGGACTGTCTAAGGTATTTTATATAGATATTTTTCATTAACCCATATTATCAAAAAGGGTCACTTTCTAATTTATAACACAATCATTTACCTATAGCACACTTTCAAATTCCATACGATACTTACACACAGGATGGCGGAGACCAGAAGTAGCAGTGTGGACCACATCCCCTCCGGGTTCAAAGAGGTTCAGCAACCAGACATAACCTATGAACAAACATGTTTGTCTGACAACATCATTGACCTTAGTTAATGTCAAGATGTGTCACGGCTGTGTCGTTAAACCTACAGACTCTTAATTCTCTTACCAGTTGTATATACAGTATACAATTGTTGTGAATATTCATTTCGGGATGTTCAAATGTTTGGATTTAAAATTAGAAAGATTATGTTTTGTAAAGACAATGAAATTTTAAAGTGGATTCAAAGAAATTTTGGGTTATAGATCAGATTATGGTGTAAAAAAAATTATTAATCTAACATCATTGCGGACATTTTTCACCATGATTCGCTTACGTGACAACATCAAGTAAGAAGAAGAACAACGTTTTAAAGAAGTTTTTAGACGTTCTCACAAATAACGAAATGTTTGTTGCGAAATGTCCATAATAATTTCTAGGATAGCCTAAAGTCACCATCACATAAATTTAACTTTAAAAAATGGTTTTATTCGTGTTGGCCTTCTCGAGTTTGCTTTTTTACAAGGTTGTACCCTACATGTTAAGAAAGATTGAGGATGTTTAATTTGAATTTTATTTTACAAAGTCAAGCCTGCAAAAACAGTAAAAGTTTCAAAAACAGTAAAAAAGTATTCTTTATTATTTACATTATTTTAAGATGGTTATCTGTAATTATCTGTTTGAATTACAAGTGAAATTGCAACCAATAGGAGAGGGTCCCAAGGTTTATTAGTCATTTAATTATCATGAAACTTTTGGTAACAACATAAGTTGCCAACGAGACTTGATATGAACTACTAACTTATTTCAAATTGTTATTCCCTGCAAAAGTGTACATAGACCAGTTAAAACTACAGTTTTTTGTTTGTTTTTTATTTATTTTTTCTATTTGATTTTGCCATAAGTTAGAAATATTATACATATTGTAAATTTGAATAAGTGATTTTAAAAACGATATTTATTAAAAACCTAACATTTACGTAGTGTCAGTAGGGGTTTTCTGTTATTTTTTTTATTTAAAGTTTTCCCCTATATTTTATATAACACTAAAACCCAAATTGTCCATTACACTATTAAAATAAAGACTGATTAGTAACTTGTGATAGCACTTCTAAGCCTCAAAAACCATCAAACACACGACAACAATTTTTTACCGTGAATATTATCAGAATTTAATGAACAAAATAAATAAAAATTTCTATTAATACTACTTTGACAAATGTACATTAAACAATATCCTTCCATTCTTTCTCTCAATCCTTCCTACAAACGTATTACTTCCGTACAAATGTTTGACCAGATTGCTTAAATAGTTATATTTACTGAGAGAAATAAAAAGCAATCTTGATTGTAGCTGCTTTGTGAACCTGCGTTATTGCTTCCGTTCAACGTCTTTTGATTATTATTACATGGCAAACTAATATTTCGGTTATTGTTCATTAACTAGGGATATTTAGAGATAATTTCCCCTCATTTTTTTTTTAAAACCAATATGATAGATATCATAAGTTGCATAAGCGCATGAAGGTTTTTTTAGATTTTCATTACTTAAGTATTTTGAGTTTAATTTTTTGTGGGTCATTTGATTATAATTTGACAGTTAAAAATGCTGCCCAAACGTGATGCCAGAAAGATCTTGTCTTTATACAACACTTATTTATAGCTATAAATTACTTTTTACATCTTCATAAAGGACTGTTAACATTGGTTTTAATAAAATTCAAAATGAGAACCTCACCAATATTTTTTTTATTTGATCACAAAACATAACCTTCGGTTTTTGTTATGAGTTTAATGATGAAAGAAAACTAATAGAGCGTCAAAACTTATTAACACTAATTAGCCCTTTTTAAGAGTCTATTAGTTAGTATAGTGAACCAATGTCTTAAGCTAGTAGTTTATACACTTTTGGATTGAAAACAATCAAAACTACTTTACCCACAAGATAAAGCGCTGGTGAGGTTACGAGACCAAAGAGCTGTCGATCAACACAAGTGTGATTTTGTTTACCTTCATCTAGATGTCTAACAGTGCGCTGCTTAGTGATCAAACGTGATTGCACCTAATGAACAATTAGTTTTAAAAGTGAAAGTGAGTTGATGACGCAGGTTTCTTATGTCATCTCGTATCAAACTGTAAGCAGTAACTTCTTGTTTAAGGCCTTCCCCGTCGTTAAAGTAAAATTATCAATATTTTAAGACTAACATTTAAAAGAAATTTTAATATTCTAATAATGCTATAAACGTCTTATAATACTCCCTATATTTATTATTAATATAAAAAGGTTAATACATATATCTATATCTATTTTCTTGAATGCAAAATTTTATAAATATGGAAACCTGTTGCCCAAAAACTACTGATCATAATACTTGTTGCTTTATTAAACTTGTATTCATTCAACAAAAAACTTTCATATTGTATAATATGTCGACCCCTTCCCCCGATTATTATTATTATTACTACCCCGATCATTCATTACATTTCAGGGTAACAACTAAAATCAAAATTTCCTGAAAAGTGTTCTGCAAGGTTTTTTCCTGAAGGGGTCTAAGGAAGAGGAAGAAATTTGCCAGTTTTCGATCTATTGTTTTTTCTTCACAATAATAGTAGTTCAGTCGTTTTATATTATGTTATATTAGCACTCAGTATAAAAATAACTGTATGTGTTAATATGTATGAAATATTTTTTAAACAATCTATATACAGTATTTAATTGGAAACTGTTTCTCATTGTCTCCAATAATTTGAGAGAACGGCTGGGCATAGAAACTTGGTAGAGGTGTCTAAAGAAAGGTCTTGTTCTGTAGATGAGCCATCAAAAGAGAAACGAAGTAAATGCCCTTGGGGCTCTGCCAAGTGACATTATAATTCACTTCCCATGTTACTCTTATGAAGGAAAATAACAGGTTTTTTATCTCCACTAATCAAATCAAATCAAATCAAAATCTGCTTTATTTCCAAAAATGTTTACAATATATACATGTACAAAATACGAACAATAGTCCCGCATAGGCCGTAAAAGACCTGTGCGCGGGACGAGCTCTATTACAAATTAGAAATATTCTTAAAAAATTAAAACTAAATTAATCAAAATACTATTTACAACTAAGCTATGAGACAGCTACAGGAACAGTTAATGCTAAATAAAAGGTAGTCGAGTGAATGGAGTTGCAGTTACTGATATATGTACGCTAAATATTGTTTGTTGTACTTGTGTATAATTATTGTTAGGTATTGTATACTGAACCGATAAGTGTCTCAGACTGATCGAGCCCAATCTCCGACAGCCAACTGCTTACCGAACGTTTATAAACTGGAAGAGATACCTGTAGATCTCTAATCTCTGATGGTATATTCCTATACAAAAAATTCGCAATATAAAAAGCATTAGTAAGGTTTGCAGACTTGAAAACTCGGGGTACCTGCATACCTACATTTACAGCTCCTCTGGTGGAATAGTTATGTGTGATTGGCGTCACTATCAAATCTTGATTAGAGTAGGTATATACAAGTAAAGTTTTGATAAAAAGTTGACGCACCGAAAGTAATTGAGTGTTTTTGAATAATACATTTGTAGGGAAACGCCTGTTGAATTGAAAAGCTATTTTAATAATTAGTTTTTGTATGACAAACAGAGGCTTTAAAATATTGCTACTAGCTCCTCCCCATACTATAATTCCATATTGAAGTACTGATTGGACAAATGCATAGTATAACATTTTTATTTCATTGATGTTAAGAATTTCGCGAACGTTTCTAAAAACATAAATTAATTTCCTAAGTTTTGTCTTTAAATATTCAATATGGGGTTCCCATCTTAACCTACTATCCAATATCACTCCCAAGTACTTGTAATGATCTACTCTCTCCAAATGTAAACAACCACAGGTAGAGACACCTGGATCTCCACAAACATGCATCACTAGTCTGAGGTTGGTGGGAGGCTTACTACTTTGTCTGAGGAAAATTGGCATATATTTTGTTTTTAAAACATTCATTGATAATACATTTTGGGAGAACCATTTTTGAATAAGGAACATATCTGTTTGCGCTACATTGAATGTTTGGTCCCAAGTATTACCTTTGAATATAACTGCAGTGTCGTCGGCAAATAAAAAGAGCTTTCCTGTGATTGGAAGTTTGTCTAAATTATTTATGTAAATTAAAAAAAGGGATGGTCCCAGCGTACTGCCCTGGACAACTCCATAGTCTATTTCACGTATATCGCTAAAATTGTTGTTAATAGAAACTAACTGGCTTCGTTTATTCAAATAACTACTAAACCATTTTAGGGCCAAACCACGAATTCCGATGCATTCCATTTTATTTAAAAGAATATTTCTATCAATGGAATCAAATGCCTTTGCAAGGTCAATGAACACAGTCAATGCTTTTTCATTTCCGTTAATACACTCCGAAATATATTTATTCATAGCGAAGAGAGCATCACTAGTATTTTTACTCTTCCTAAAACCATACTGGCATTCTGATAACAAATTATTATCTTCCAAATAACAGTGCAATTGTATTTTGACACATTTTTCTAAAATCTTAGACATAACATTCAACAGGGATATTGGGCGATAATTGTTTAACTCTTGCTTTGTGCCAGATTTATACGAAGGAACTACTTTCGCTATCTTAAAACGGTCAGGAAATTGTCCTGAGAGAATGCTTAGATTAACTAGGTGTTTGAGTGGAGGTATCAGTGCCGGAATATTATTTTGTAATAAAATCGCCGAAATTCCATCTATACCAGGAGCAGATCCACCACGCAAATCCCTAATGCACCACTCAAGTTGGCTGTCGGTGACCGGCTCTAGCCGGAACTCATGTCTGACTCTGAACGCTGAATCGTCAATCAGCGGAGGTCCAGCCAGTTGCGGTATGCGTTGGGCAAGATTCCTACCTACATTTGTAAAAAAGTTATTAAACGAGTTTGCTACTTTTTTTATACCGCCCTTATCGGATTTCTCATAAAAAAGACTTAATGGAAGTTTTTCACGAATTTTCTTTATACCACTTATTTCATTTACTATATTCCAAAATTCTTTTGGCTAATTTGAAAGAACAGCTGGGCGTGGAAATGGAATAAATATAGAGGTGTATAAAGAGATTTCTTGGTCTGTATATGAGCCATCAAAAGAGAAACAAGGTAAATTCCCTTGGGTATCTGCCCTACCGGCCTTTAATGTTCCCTACCTAGATCTGTTTACATTATGCCCAGATGGATCACTTTACACTGCCGTTAATGAAACAGCTGTTATTATTCAAATTGTATTAAATGGTGATGTTTTATAAGCATTTACTGAATCTGTATAAACGAAAATATTGACAATATTTCGTGATTTTTTGCAATGGTCTTAGTAAACTTACTGGTTCAATAAAAAAATTATAAAATATGCTAAATCTGTTGATGTTAACTAAAAGTAGTCTCACAAATAAACATTTACAATTGTTTCTGTCTTGACACATTAGTATGTGAGTAGTTTTGAATTATTCAAAAGGTGTCAACGTTATGTTCAAAGAGTAACGCAAAGTCATAACAAATTGCAAAGTGTCACTTCGCTCTTTGTTGTTGTAAATCAACAATTTCACGCTTTCAACATACATACATACATACGTACACATCCAGGTTACGGCTTTGCTTGAAATGTAGTTCATGGTCAGATTTATAAATTATGAACTTTAAAGTAGTAACTTTTATTCTCATTCTTTCTTTTGTGGTCATATGTGTAAGTTACCAATTTTGTGTACTATTTCATACGTCACTTTGTGGTAAGGTTTATGTTATGTTTATAGAAATTGCTAATGTGAATCTGATATGTTTTAATGTGTATACGGTTCTGTTATCATTTTAAAACTGTACTGTACACTTTTATTACAACGCAAGTGTTCTAAAAAGTTAAATGTATGCTTACGTTCATCTTATTTACATCCCTTATCATATTAAGTTAGTTCTTTCAATTCACAACTAATTATCATTATTATTTTCTGTTCAGATTTTCCAATCGAGATAAGTATCGTCCAACAAAAATATCGTTCGAGGTGCTTTTATGTTTTTTTTTTGCAAAGAATCTTTTTTAATGTTTTTACATTAGAAGTGAAATCGTGACTTTTTGGATATTTAAGGCCCTTTTAACTGATTTAACCATAAATCTTTTAATAATTAAATATTTAATACAACATTGTTTATTAGCTATGTGGCTTTCCAAATGATAAAATGTTATTCTCTGGCAATTTATGTGTCACATTTTTTAAAGACCACATACATGTTTTAATTCAAAACATTATCCCTTCTTTACTTAATAGGTATCAAAAGGGTACTGTTCTTGTTTGCGTAAAAGTATCGGTTGCCATATATTTAACGTAAGGGTAATGAGACCATTACTTCTAAAGGTGAAGGTAAGCAAAATGTTGTCGCATTTATGAGTTTTGTCAACAAAACCCTTACAAAGCTTGTTTTCTTATCAGGTGGAGAGTCACCGTGGTGGAGGATGCAGAAGGTCATCAGGAAGGTCACGAGGAGGATGTCATAGAGGTCAAGGTCACCGGAGACAATCCTGTAGACCTCAGCGTAGACAATCATGTCATCATGGTCAACAAGATCGTCATCACGACTGTCATCCCCAAGATCATCACGATTACCATGATTATCATGACGACAACTACGATGACTACGGGGGCAGAAGTGTTCCAAGTAGAAACCCACAACGAAGTACCACAGGAAGAAATCAAGAAACGAGAAGTGCTCAGAGGAACCAACAAGAACAGACTCGTCAAAGAGATAATGTGAGTAAACCGAGACGAACAAGCAAGGACAGTCAGCAAGAAAAAAGACGGATGAAAGATGAAAATCTTAAAAGAAAGAGTAATAACGTTGCGCCTCGAAATCCACCAAATGGTCAACCGAAGACGAAGAAGCCTCGTCAGCAACCTCCTGCCAGAGATCCTGAGCCTGAACGTCCTAATGATAACTCTAGAGAGGATTTAAGTCTTGAAGACGATAACGATTCTGAACAAGACGTGTTCTTCTGGTCCATTCAGATTCCAAAAGATACGAACGATAATAATGACGATGATTATGTGGACAAAGATCACCGCTTTTAATTAAATAATAATTCTCCTACATCTTTTAGCATGATAGCCTAATTGCTGATAATTTGTAAAACTTAAGTGAAATACGAAATGGGATGAATAACAAGATATAAATGTATGTATTTACTGCAAAATGAAAATGATCCGTAGTAATTTTACAACTGATTTAAATTTAAATGTAAATAAACTTCCTATGGACCTCTTTTTATTGACATGGTAGTTATTTGAAGCAATGCAATTGATATTATAGTTGTATTTATTAGAAATCTTAATCACCTTATAAATGAAAAGAAAATGTTGAATTATGATCAAATCAGTTCAATAAAAATTAAATGAATGTACAATTAAAAGATAAGATTAAAAAATTTTAGTAACAATACTAAATATTATATGAAAATAAAATACTTTCAATAAATCGATTTAACTATTTTCAAACGCATTAAGTAAGATTTTTCAAAATCCTCACTGTTCACTCATAATTTAAAAAAATGTAATTGTTCCTTTATATCAAATGTGCAAAAGAAAAGATCTTCAATAAATGTTATTACTTTACGACTTTCGTTTACTTTTTGAAAACCGTGAAGTAAAATTAAACCTTTCCTCGTACAGTTGGATCTAACCTGCCACCAGCTGAATTAAATTAATCTAACATAGTTACTTCGAAAACAAATTAGCAATGCTGTTTGAAAGTTCATAATTACATCCCCATCTGTAACTCCCGAAGCTACTTTGGAACAATCCCATGCCACATCGGAGAGTGTATTGTCAGATTTCAGTTGCCGTTTCAATCTTTATTGAGATAATTATGGCTGAATATTGTTCATGAAGTTCCTAGCTTGAGAACTTTAGAAAGCTTTTGTACAGTATTAGAGTTTATATTTCAGCATCTTAATGTGTTTAATTTGTACTTATGGAATCTGGGTATATTCTTCTACACTTAAATAGTAGTTGACGCAACAATCGCATAAAAATAGTGTTAACGACACGAGTAGGAAATTTAAGGTATGAGCCTTGGCGAGTGCCTTAAAACTTCTCCTATTTACGCGAGTTGCGTACTCTACATTACCTACGACCGGTTTTCAATTACTAATAATTACTACCCAAAACTTTTAAGAGAGGTTATGTTTTCGTTTAAAACCTTTCATTGTCACTGGCATTGATGCAACGACTCATTGTACCAATCACTAAATACACCAATCGTTAACAATTAAATGTTTAAACATAAGTTTGAAGCATTACAATTTTACTTCTTTTCTCTCAACTCTTGAACCTCGTTTGGTCCGTTACCCATGTTGTTAAGTAAAACTATGTTTTTATGTGAGTAAACAATGCTGTTATGTGAAACTTTTCAATTCTAAGAACTGAGCTGAAACCGCTAGTTTAAAAACGGTCGTAGGTAAAAATATTGTCGACACACTGCTGTGTTTTAATTGACTTTCCATACATACAATTACTCTGGAAAACAGTTGTTTGTCTCCTGCTTAGTCAATGGGATTTCATTGCATACTACCACATTCAGTTCTTAGAATTGAAAAGTTTCTCTTAACAGCATTGTTTAGTTTCATAACAGCATAGTTTTTCATAACAACATGGGTAACAGACCAATGAGGTTCAAGGATTGAGTGAGAAGAAGTAAAATTGTAATGATTCGAATTTCAATTAATCAGCTGTTCAGGCCATTTTAATTGTTGAGTGGTGCAATTAGTGTTTGGTACAACGTTTCGTTGGCTCACTGTCAGTGGCAATGGTTACTGTAACTCACAATTAACTAAATAGAGAATCGATACATACTTTCGAAACATGCAACTGTTTACAATCGAAATCTACAAATAAGTGGACAACAGCTGATTTTTACTCCCTATCGGCTAAACACGATTTTTTTTATTCCTAGACAGTAAAAATGCTACTTTAGACCCGCAGCGCATGCATTAAACAAGGTTGTTTTTGCTGTAGTTAGTATGATGAAAAACTGTATTAGTTACTGTTATTGAGATATGTGAGATTACATTTGCATCAAGCGATCAATTGGTAACTCAATTAAACCATTTTGATACTAAAACTGGCGAACATTAAACAAAGGGATGGGATATATATCACTTTACAAGTTCCCTAGCTGAAAGCATTTACATTTTGGCCCACACACTTATTATTAATTATAGTATCAAATAAAGTTTAGCTTTTAGCAATTAAAGTCAATTGCTTAAAACTTAGTTTTTTGATATTTTTTTGTTTAATCCCAATGAAGGTATATAAGAATGAAGGGGAGTAATATTAAAACATAGAAAAGAAAACACTAAACGAAATAAATGTACAGTTGTTTAGTCTAAAAGAGCCTCATTCAATAATTGTCGGTTTGGATTAAATTAGAAACCTCTAGTCCACAAAGGTGGGATGTTAGCCTATTTTTCTAATAGCCTACTCTAAAAAATCGCATTCAATAGTGATCACTTTGAATTAAATTGGAAACTAAAATAATTCGATAAGATTGGACATAATACGTTATATTATGTCTATACAGAGTGAATTTTAACCCTTATACATATAGTAAAATAATAAATTTTTATTTAAAAGATAAAGGTATGCATGCTTGCTTCCTCCTCTTTAAATTAACCAAAGTTGTAGTTTCTAAAACAATCTTTTAATATATTAAAATAATAATTTACAGCTGCGAGCGTTTCTAGTAGCAAAACCTGGAACAAACAAAACAAATTCACAATACAGAACGTGTCGCCTAGCCCACTCTATATTGATTAAACAGAAGAGAACTGCATTAACGACATGTGTACAACGGACAAGTGCTGCCATCTGAGCGAGAATGTCAATGTACTACGATGCCGACGTATAGTATTTCTCTGGGCCAAACAGTGCTGCAGCCTAACTAAACTACTAAAACAACGTGGTTCGTTTTATCTAAGTCATTTACTAGCTTTAAACTTAAGTGCATTAACGTTTAAAATAAAAGCTATTGATTAATTTTGTTCAAGGATATAATATATAATTTTTATGTTTAAAAATAATAATTAATAATAATAATAACAAATTAATAAAATTACAAAAAAGTAATAAGTTAATAACCTTTTTTTATTGTATTTTGTGGCTATACTTCCACATTTAAATCCAAAAGTTACAACGTTTTGTTTTATTAAAAAAATTTACCGTTGTGTTATTATTCCTGTCTTTTGCCTGACTACAGATGTTGATCTCAGCGAATAATCGTAACAATTAACCTTTTAAGTTGGCAGACATTGAAATAACAATGTACAATTACTAGAACAATGCCGTTAAGTTTGCCAAATTGTCTAATAAATAAGTTACTAGTATATTTCTCTTATACACTTCGCAATTCCAATCCAAGTAATTACAATCTAAATTTCTACTTACAATTCAAAACAGGATATTTTAGCAAAACGTCTATGATTGTAAGGTAGCATTAATAACGTAATTTGCATTAATTATTTTTATCTTGGATTATTATTTGATATTATCTCTATGATTTGACTGCCCAAAATGAGAGCCTAGCAACACAACGTAAATGTACAAGATTAAAGTACAATAACATATATTGAAATTGACTTGCTATCGATGAGGAAATCATGTTGAAATTCTGTTACCACTAGGACACATTTCCATAAAGAGTTATTTAATATTTAAATGTCAAAGGAATTAAAGCATACCGCCTCTACACTTGTTAGTCATTGTTGACACAAGCACGACTGCTACAAACATGAGATTGTCTGATGTCGTAAAATGTGTCACATGTTGACTTATGTTGATTGGCTTTGTATGAGGTCGTAATCAAATCAGGATTTTAGTGACGACAGTCACAACGAGAATTAAATAAAAACTTTGTATGTTTATTAGTAGCTAGTTTAAAATAAACAAACAAGATGTATAAATATTTTCTATGTAAAGAGTTATACGTTTTATTACATTTTAGCAACATATTTTTTACATTGTAAAAAGGAAAATAATACAGGTTTTGGAATTGTAATTGCTTAAAATATTTAAGCAAAGCCACAATAGGCATTTATTACATTGTTAATAATTTGGTTTATAACTTTAAGGTATAATGGTTTTAGCTTTTAAGTTCTGTAATTCAATAGGTTTTGATTTGGTCTTGCTGTCCTTTCCCTACATTTGTTGTACATTATCTTCACTTTATACTCTAAATAGTGGCTCGGTGGTTAAACTGATTGTCTAGTAATCAAAAGGTCACCAGTTCTCCAGTAGCTTTTTGATTATTCGAATCTTGACCCAGCTGTCTTTTTCAATACTAGAACAAAGATAATTAACCTTGATACCTAGATACCTTGACTGGGACGGGTGGCGTCGTCCTGTAATCCAGCTACTAGGAGGTCACGAATTGTGGATATTTATAGGTATGCACTGTGGATGGGATACTCCCTGGTGTGGATTAACGTCCGCACTAGTGAGTATTACGACTATCAGCAGTACTATCCTGATAATTAGACCAATTCGTATATACCAAGGAAAAAATGTGGTTCGGATTCCACTATAAACTGTAGGTCCCTTAGTTGCCATTAGCTGTTTGGGCTATTAATTAACAGCTGTGTCTAAGGAATGTCGGCCTTAGTCACTAACAAGACTACAAGATCGCGCCACTCATCCTACACTCATCTCCATTCATACTTGGCTTAAAATACCTACATTGTATGGTCGCCATTTCATAAGAAAGTATTAAAGTATTAAAGTATCAAATCAAAACTCTTATTCTAATCCTTTTACTCAACGTGTACAGACTTATTCGTCTCGTATAGTGAAATATAATTGATTTCTGTTATATGCTTAATGCAATGGTACATTATGGGAGATATTCTAATTACTTCCGAGTCATTTAATGAATGGTTTTGTATTTTACAGTTTATAATACAAGGAGGAGGGATGTGGAATAGAGAGATTGCAATTTACAACGCGCGGCGTCGTCTCATCTGCATAAGCCCTTTACCAGGTTAAGTGTCTTCCTTGTGTGTGGTTTGACGCACCTGTACATCTTTAGTGGTTCCCCTACTGTAACTACATCAGTGACATGGTCAATTAAATAGATTAAAACAAATCGTTATAATTATTATTTTTATTATTTATTCAAATGAATAACTTTTA